CTTCTTTCAGGTGACGGAGCAAATGACGTAAGCATGATTCAAGCTGCTGACATTGGGATTGGAATATCTGGACAGGAAGGCATGCAGGTACTGTTCCCGTTAATTGTTCTTGTTTCTTCCTTGCTCTCCTTGGTCACTGTTGGAGAGTTAGGGCATTCTTCGCAGTCGGGTGACCTTCTCCCTGAGAATTTTGCAGAATTATCATTTGAAAGTCAGGAGGCGTCTGTGTCATAAGCCTCCATCACCAGCTCCCTCCTGCCTAGTCCTTCAGAACACAAAGGAGATCAAAGGATGCTTGGCTTTTTACAAACAGCTGGTGATAACTATGTTCTAAAGCCAAATAGTGCCCAACCACTCAGGGAAGCATTACCACCAAAACCTAATGTTTCTCCTTAAGTCCATCTGCCTGCATGCACGGGTCCAAAGATATGCACCAGCAAGAATTTGCAGTATAGGAAGTGTAATACTGAATTGGCCGGAGACAGGGAGCTAATGTGAAAGCCGGACTCCCAAAAAGCATATAGGTTACAGACTGTACAGGGAAAAATCACAAGACACCATGGTTCAGGGGTCCAGCTGGGAGCTGATTGTCAGAGGTGAAACAAGGGTGATGAATCCATTCTTCAGGTCTTGAGGACAACTCTGAGGTCTTTTCCAGTCCCTCTGTCCTGTCTCATGGGAAAGGAGTTAAGGGGTCCTTCCACCTTAGGGCTCAGGAACTGAAACATAAATAGGTCAAGGTGTTATCATTAGTCTGCCATGTTAGTCAGGTCTGGGGTACTGTCTTCTGCTGCCTTGGGGGTTGCTGAATCTCTGGAGGAGAGGCTGCGGGGAGAGAGAGGTTTCTAGAGTAAGAATTTAAAGTTCAATTTAATCATCATAAGGACCCCGTTTCAGAAGCCTAAGGCCTTCCTCTGACTGCATGCTTCCTCCCTAGATTCATGCCAGGAATTATAACTAAGCTTGTCCAAACCTCACAGTCTTAAGAGTTCTAGGAACTGTGTCTTGTTCTGAGTGACCCCAAGGGCAGAAGACACATGCCATCTGAGCATGGAGCGGATGGCCTGCCTCAGGAGGTGGCCAGGGGTTTGAGGATTATTTGCCTGGAAGCCCCTACTCTCTGGGTAACCATCAAACCCCTAGCATGGTGCCCGAAAGACACTTGGCCATAATAAACGCTTGTTGAACAAATAGAAGGAGATAAAAGGCCAAACTAGACCCCTGGCCCCTTCTGCCCTGCCCTTTTTGGATTCTAGTGAGAAAGAGCCACCCAAGGGCACCACATGAGGGCAAAAGGCCTTTCAGACTCTACTAGCTATGGACCTAGAGCAAAGGCCTGCCCTCGGGGAGCCTCTTGGTGCACGGGCAGCAATGATGGACGTCTCTCTTCTGCCCTCGTAGGCCGTCATGTCCAGTGACTTCGCCATCTCCCGCTTCAGACACCTCAAGAAGCTGCTGCTGGTGCATGGCCACTGGTGCTACTCCCGGCTGGCCAGGATGGTGGTGTACTACTTCTACAAGAACGTGGTGAGTGGCCTGCAGCAACCCCCTACCTGGGCCTGGGGAGTCTTTGCTGGGGACCAGCTGTCCCCACATTAGACAAAGCATCTCAGCAGGGGTGGGAGGAGTCAGGCTCACCTGGATTTTGAATCCTGATACAGTCCCTTACCAGCTCTGTGACCTTGGGCAAGACAGTGCACTTCTCTGGGCCTCGGTTTTGTCTTTGACGATATGGGTTAAAGCATCTGGTACCTGGGAGGCAGCATGAGTAATTACAAACATGGACTCTGGAGTCAGACATAATTGGCTCAAATCTAGGCTCCTGTATTTGGCAATGGCCCTACGCCTTAGTTTTTCCATCTGTAAAATGGGGCTGACAAAAGTACCTTTCTCATATATTTGCTCAGAAGATTAAACGAGAGCTTGTGTATAAAATGATTGGCATGTAGTAATTACACAGCAGAGTTAGCCATTATTTTTCATCATTGTTGCTGCTGCTGTTACTCTCAGACAGGCTCCATAAAAGAGATTTATTTTCTGACTGCAAGGAAGAGAAGGATCTGAAGAACAACTAGTGTGGGCTGAATGATTTGTGGATTTGGGTTCACTAGTGTGGCTTTTCTCTTAGATTTCCTTCCCAGATAGAGCCACTCTAATGCAAGAGCCAAGGTAAAGGTTTAAGATGAAGTCCGTGACTTCCACCCGACCCAAATGTCACTTCCAAACAGGGGGTTCACAGAGGTCAAGACACTAAATAAAATATCTATCGGTAAAAATGTTTAGACTAGGGAGGTCATCTGAGTTTCAGTCTTGCCTGATCCAGCATGCTGTGTGAATGTGGAAGAGTCACTTAACCTCTCTGAGCCTTGGTTTCCTCATCAATAACAGAAAGACTATCACCCTCTCTGTCCCTAGGAGTCTTATCAAGCAGCTTTAGTGTCAGAGCTCTGGAATGCACGTAGCACTTTACAAATACAAGAATGTGTTTCTCCTAAAAAATATGTTCATTTCTGTCTTGTTGATAAAGGTCCAAAGCAGGCACACACCAGCTGAGGTATTAAAACTGTCGGAGGCCCTTGTTTGAAAAGCCCTGGATGAACAAGGGGTATAGGGAGAAAGCAAGGGCCTGAGTTTTTCATTATCTAGTTCAAGGACCTTTGACTAATCCCCAAGAGTGTCCAAATAGATTCCACTCTTGTTTGCATAAGGGAAGAGGGAGGACTGAGACGAGAAGAGGATGGAAGAGAATAACATTAGCCAAGTAGCTGCCTCAAAATTGCCTTTTCCCCCTCTTGCTCCATCCCCCCGTCCTGTTTGTGAGTGCCCGCACAGTTACCCTTGCTCAGGAGTGAGCATTTTTGTGCAGAATTCAATATATCAACAGAATGGCAAAAAAAAGATGTTAATTTGATAAGCTGGATGGTACTATTTCAGCAAGTTTATGCAAAGTCACAAGTTGACTTGAACCCACTTTGTGCATGAAAGACTGTTTAGTTAGAATTCAGCATACCTCTGTTTAATTTTTTTTTCTCTTGGCCTCTAAGGGAATAATAGTTCTTCTGAATGAGCCCAATCTCTTCTCTGCATAAATTTGTGAAATAGAAAAGGCAACCTTGCCAGCCAGCCATGCTTTCAAAACTTAAATGATATTTATTTCCAGCCCGATGCCTCGCTCACAAACGGAGATACTGACGCGCATTATCTCCCTTTGCAATTAGAGGGTGGAGAACTATGAGTTCCACATCCGAAACCAATTTCAGAGGGGATTAAAGCCCGGCCTGCTCTGCAATGCGAACAATGAATTAATTACCTCACCCTGCCTTCTGGGGAGGAAAGGCAGGCGCCCAATCTGGCGACGCCATCACCAGGTTCAATGCACTCCCTCCAAGGTGCCAAGACTCCCGACAGAGGAAGTGGAGAAAAGGAAGGTCCTCCCAGGGTCTCAGAGGAAGAAAACCCTCTTTAATGTTAAAATTCCAGCATGAGTGTTAGGAGAAAAGAACAACTAAGATAAGCAAATGATTATTCAAATCATTATCGAACACCTACTGTGTGGGGAACATTATCAGGCACTGGGCATGGAGACATCTGTCTCTATGCCCAGTGCCTGATATAGATGCCTACAGTCTAAATCAGGGCTCAGCAAACTTAACTCTGCAAACAGCCATGTAATAAATATTTTCAGCTTTGTGGACCATCTAGCCTCTGTCACAACTGCTCAACTCCTCTGTGGTCCCATGAAAGCAGTTATAGACACTGTGCAAATGAATTGAGGTGGCTGTGTCTCGGCATTTGTGGTTGGATTGGCTTGTCATCTCCTGGTCTCAGTAATCATTGCTTCTCGAGATATCGTTTGGGGACCAGCAGCATTAGCATTACCTAGACACTTTTAGAAATGCAGATCCTCGAGGTCCACCCCAGGCCTGCTAACTCAATCTGCATTTTTAATACAATCCCAATATGATTCCTACGAACCTTAAAGATGGATAAGTACTAGTATAGGGGAAAGAAAGTTAATTTTAAAAATATCTGCCTGGAGGAAGGTCAGGGTGCTATGGGCATATCTCTAGGAGACAAGGAAGCCAAGGCTCAGAGAGGTTTAGTGACTCTCCCACATTCACACAGCCTGCTGGAGTCGGGCAAGATCAAAACCCAGATGACCCCCTACTCTGAACATGTTTGTCACTAGATATTTTATTTAGTGTCCTGACCTCTGTGAGCTCCCTGTTGAGAGTGACATGTAGGGTCAGGTGGAAACCAGGAAGAATAACCCAAAAGTAGACTGAGAAGGCTTGAGGGTGATTGATGAGAAAGCATTTTGAAAACTCGGGTGCTGGTTGTAGCACTTTCTAGCTCTGAACTTGGGCAAGGGGTAACAACGAATTATCTTAGAGCCTCTGATTCTTTCACTATGACAGACGCTGACCACCAGGGGGTGGCATGGAACAAAGGAAGGCCCAGGGCTCCGGCCAGGCCTAGGGACCTTACCCCCACATGAATTTTGTGCACTGGGCCTCTATATATAATAATGCATAAATATTATAGAATTATATTAGCAATAATATTAATCTTGCCAGGTTGTTGGGACAAATTATAATGTATATCGCATCTAATAATGTACAATGTACTCATATGTTATGTCACACAAATAGAAGGTCAAATAACAATTAATGGTATTACTAATAATATTAACATGTCTATACTATTAACATGTTTATATTATTATAATAATAATACATAGCTAGGCTCTTCAAAATAACCCTGGCACGGCAGTTAGGGAATGAGAATTCCAACCTGCTGAGTGATTTCTCACAATACCCTTTGCCCCTCGGGGCCTCAGCCACACACAGCAGAGAAGGTCCAGTCCTAACTCCAGGGCTACCTGCTTACTTACATGACCTTGCTCAGGTCACCAAACCACGTCACAACCTGGATCACTATTCTCAAGCAGTAACAGCCCAGCCCAGGTGGGAGGACTGGAGTGAAGAGCTTCAGAAAGCATAAAGCAAGTTAAGCGGATTTCCTCTTTCACCCTTCTTAGCTGCATGACCATTAGCAAAGTGTGAGAGAGGAACCTTCTCATGAAATCCACTTCCTGCACACAGTCCAGTCTTTCCATCATGCCTGCCTCAGGGCCATCCCTTTCTCTTTCCACCCTACTACTACTAACTGCTGCCTCTCAGGCCAGGTACCATAGTCTAGGTCAGCCGTGGGCAAACTACGGCCCATTTGAAATGAATAAAACTAAAAAAAAAAAAAAAAGACCGTACCCTTTTATGTAATGATGTTTACTTTGAATTTATATTAGTTCACACAAACACTCCATCCGTGCTTTTATTCCAGCCCTCCGGTCCAGTTTAAGAACCCATTGTGGCCCTCGAATCAAAAAGTTTGCCCACCCCTGGTCTAGGTACTACTACTACTCCCATCTGAAAGGTCACAAGATCATGTTCAGAAAGGTTGAGCAACTTGCCCAAGGTCACACAGCTAGTAAGTGACAGAACTAGGGATTCAAAACCCTCTCTGCCTCCAAAACCTGTGTTCTTAACCATCAAACTACACTTACCTTAACAAGGTCCTGAAGACATTACTGTAGTTAGCAGGAGTAGTAGTTAGCAGCAATAGGTAGTAATAATAGGGTCAGGAGACCCTGCTCTAAGGATTTGAGTATCTCCAGTCCTTACCCAACCCACACTGTCCACCTGCAGTGCTACGTCAACCTGCTCTTCTGGTACCAGTTCTTCTGCGGTTTCTCGGGCTCCACCATGATCGACTACTGGCAGATGATCTTCTTCAATCTCTTCTTCACCTCACTGCCTCCTCTCGTCTTCGGGATCCTCGATAAAGACATCTCTGCGGAGACACTCCTGGCGCTGCCCAAGCTGTACAGGAGCGGCCAGGACTCCGAGGTAAGGGGCTCGGCTTCTCCCTGGAGGTGTCAGGGCATGACCACGGGGCTGGGGGTCAGGAGCCCCGCATTCAGTCACCACTCTGCCCCTCACCTCCCACGTGGCCAAGCATTTGCTGTGAGGATGACTTGACGAACCAGACCAATGAGTATGTTTCTTTTAGATATTTCTTAATTATATCACCCATTATGGGACTGCCCAAGTTGAAGAGGGAGAGGGCATGCAGAAAGATCCCCCTGAGCCAGCCCCCCTCTCCAGGCCTTCCACAGAACCCCTGGGAGTAAAAAACAGTTAACTCATCCACGGGTGAGGCGAGGGCTTCCACCACAGGTCAGGAAAGGCAAAACTACAACTCCAGGTGGCCTAGAACTTGCTAGTATGAAATAGACTGAAGAAGGCCTGGGGCGCCATCAGAATGGTTTCTTAAAGGACACAGAGCAGCCACAGTGGGACCTGACTGATTTGCAGAAGTCAGACAGGTGGTCAGGAGGTGGGATGCAGGAGGAGCTCTGGGAAAAGGGTCCTTGGCACCTGGGAGGGAGGAGCGCACAGCCAGGTGGGTGCCTGAGGGCTGGTGATACATTGTGGACAGCCAGTGAAGAGGCAAGTGCAGTCCTAACCCGAAGGCAGGAGAGCACAGCAGCCCCGCACCACAGGCGAGAGGGACATGCGATGGCGCAGGTGCATCCTAGGCTCTCCACCAGCCCCCTCCCCACAGGCACGCTGGCGGGATGATGTATTCCATAGGCACCTATCATTCAGGGTTAATGTTGCAAAAGCATAGACTGTAATATATATATATACTAGTAATATATATATTTCCCCAGAAATATATACCCTTTGGCTGCCATTATTAATTCCAATGGGTTAAATCTGAAAAGAAAGAAGTATCAATTGAGCTATCAGCTGTTAAAAGAATGTGTACATGTTTTGGGATACCCTGTACAGGTATATACAATCAACATAGGGGTACATATTTCTTTTCAAATTAATGTTTTGTTTTCTTCAAATAATATCCAGAAGTGGAATTTCTAGATCACGTGGCAGTTCCATTTTTAACGTTGTGAGGAACCTCCATACTCTCTCCCACCGTGGCTGCACCAATGTGCATTCCCAACAACAGTGTCTGGGGCTCCCTTTTCTCCACGTGCTCACCAGAGCTCATTGTATGTGGGTTCACTGATGAGAGCCATTCTGGTGGTGGTAACTGCTCGTGTATTCTTTCTTGGCAGTGCTATAACCTGATGACTTTCTGGGTTTCCATGATGGATGCTTTCTACCAGAGCCTCATCTGTTTCTTTATCCCTTACCTGGTAAGTCATATCAATCATTCCATTCTAACCATACAAATCACAGGGTGACACTGGTCCTGTTTATAGGAAATCCTAGACTAGTAGTGTCTTTCTAGACACTTCAGAGCAGAGGCTCAAAACAGGTAGCCTGCGACTACCTCCAACCTAGTGTGTTTGACAAGTCAGAAAGCTTTGCCCAAACATTTTACTTTCTGCCAGGTTTTGGAAAACTGAAAACTATCATTACATGGGATCATTTTCCCTCATGGCAGAAGTCCAGAATTGACTCATAGTCTGCTTAGATGGGGCCCATATTATCGTTTGCCATAGTCCCCACCACTCCCTTTTGTCTTATCCCAGGCCTTCTTCACTCATTTACTGTTTCTTATTTGAGCACTAAACATATCTGGATTTACAACCCTTCATTTAGATTTGTGCTTCAAGCATTCAGACAGCAAGTTCTGATAATGAAGAATACTACATTACCTGAAATAAAAGCAGGAATACATACAGCAAGGATACCAGCCCTACCTCAATCTGGTTCCTCAGAGGAGAGTGAGAATTTAGATAGTGAAGGGTATCTTTTTCTCCTGGACAGGGAACCATAATGTGGGTTAACTGCTATCAGGTATGGTAGTGTCTACACAGCCTTGGGGCTCATATCCTTTTGCAGCTATCAACACGAGGGTCGATAAAGCAGGCATTTTATGCTTTCTTTTCATTTCCTAGCTTACAATACCCTCCCTGGTCAGACCTCTGCTAGTCTTTCCT